TCTACTACCTTGAAAATTTGTTTAGGAGCAATGTTTTATAAAGGGTTAAATTGGGGAATTGGTGGTTTTGGTCAGCTGTCAGTTTTGAAGAAACCTAGAGAAAGCTATATCAGCTAATTTAATGAATCATAATCATTGGCCTCAGAAGGAATTCAAACCCTTATTAATTCGTTTTCCAATTTAAAAATTTAGGGCCCAAAAAAATTTAGCATTATACAGGCACCATTTTTCAAACAGGGGGGTCTAAATAAATTTGGAAAAATTTAGCATTATAGAGGCACCATTTACTAATCAGGATCCAACATTAATTGCCAGAGAAACTTCGGGCGTTTCCGTACGTCGACGAAGCGGCGACTTCGTACATCCATGACCGCCCGTGCGTTCACCGGGCCAAAGAGTGGGGTAAGAGGGAAGTTTCTTGGCCCTAGACTTCCAACCACCATGAATTTAATAGGCTTTACTACCCAATCAACTAAGGATTTTGCACTACAAAAGCCAGGTCAACCATTTTTTTAATGGTCTTGGAAGTCTAGGGTTGGGGATGTTTTTTGTGTCACTCGATCCAGATGTTTTTCTTGCAGACCATGTGAGAAATAATATGACCACACCACTTCACCACATGAGCAAGTGTTCGATTCAAGAAGAAGTGTTTGGACCACATAACCTTTTTCACAACAAGGCTGTGCTTTTCCACCTCATAATCCACTTGACTGCATAACTGAAGAACAGCTTCCAATGGTTTTGACATCTTTGGACCGTGTATAGCCAGTCCTGCAAACCTCATTTTCCGTTGAGGAGGCGTGACCTTTCCCTCCACTCCAGCGGTCTCCCAGCAGGCAGGGAGGAGGGTGCAGCAGGGGCAAGCTTGACAGGTTTTGAAAGAGCAGAAGACATGCTGGCTTATCTGCTGCTGATGACTTGATGTTGAATTGGCACTTGATATCCCTTACAGGAAGTCAATCCTTAAGGTATGGCTCTATCAATCTTAATTAAGGCGTGTACAGTGTAAATTTCGATCTTAGGAAGCTCGTTTGTACAGTTGGACACTCCGAAGTATATAGTATATGATCATCCATGTTGAAAGCGAATGAATGGTGTGTCCTTTATTCTTTGTCGTTCCTCGTTCCTTAGACTCTCAATTCCGCTTTGGACAGAGGCGTCTCACAGAGGTCTCCCACGTTCCTTTCTACAGATGTGGGACGTTTTCGACGGTGTTCGCTCGGAACCCGCAAGCTAGGACGCCAGAGGAACCCTGTGTTCATCGATGAAGCATTCTGGGTGTTCTTTTGATCGAAAAGACCGTCCAGCACTATAATGGACAGCTGCTTTTGGATCGAACCAGCGGATGTCCAATGAGTCAAAACCCGCCCGCCCAGCGGATGAGAAGCTACTAGCTAGGACTCTATCCAGCGAACATTGAAGAGGTGGAAAAAAAAATCAAAAGGAAAGCCGAAGGAGGTGATTCTGGGCACTTCTGGGCGAAGAAACACCGATGTTCGGTTGGTTCTTTTTCCTACTCAGAGGGGACAAAACGATCCAAAACTTGAGAAATGACAAATTCAGAGCCGGAGTGAATTTCGGGAATTTGATGGAATTTGGATATGTTCGCACCCCTGGCATGTTGAAATTGTGGCTGGGGCCTGAAAAGGCGACTTAAGACCCCCTCAAAAAGCGACCAGCTTGTGCTGAAATGCTGATTCATGTCCTCTTAACATGTCTTCACCGGATCTGGCAGACGCTCAGAAGTTGTTTTGCTTCCACCTCCCGAACACCTTTTTCCGGATGAGAAAAGGCACGTTGCTCGCTGCTCTCAGGTGGACCACTGGACGCAGATGCCACTTGGAGATCGATCAGCATGTTTGGGTGCTGGCCGCTGGCAAGCTGGAGCTCGATCCCTCTTATCCCATTTTCGCTGGTCTATCCGATCTATCCAAGTTGGAAGGTGCTGGAACAGCTGAAACAGGCCTTTGGGAATTTGGGAAGAGACCTTCCACCACCTTGATGCTGTGTTCTTGGCATGCCCAGCGGAGCAAACTATACCAAACTTAAACTCACGATCTTTGCGTACCACACCAAGCAGCTCATGAAACTGTCGTGAGTAGTGCATAGAACCAAGAGATACCAAGAGATATCAGGCCCAAGCGAGCCCGGGCCCGTTGGCAAAGTAAAAAGCAAGTGCATGGAAGCATTATGTGTATTTCATAAACAGATGAAATACGTATACAGTAAATCCAGTGTTTTGTCCAATTATTGCACATACTTTCTATTACATTCGATGATCTCGGCCCAGGTATGATCTCAACTCCACGCAGCCGCCCAGCTGGCGAAAGTCAGGCCACCTGGGCAGCACACCTTATAGTGGGGTGAAATGAAAGGTGCCGCTTTAGCGCTTGATGAGTCACCAGGTCCATGAGCGAGGGGGATCCTTTTGAGAGTTTTGTTCCAGTATGTTCCAGTGTTAAGTGTTTGTGCTTTGGCTGGTACTCCAAGCATTTGGCCAAAGCTTTTGAGTGTAGATTTGGTGACTCCTTCGCAAAGACGAAGCATTTGTTGATTCGGTTACCGAGGCACAGACATCCGAGGCACAGACATTAAGGGAAGAGAGGCACATGGGGCCGTGTCCTGCCCCGACATGGGACCGGTTGTCCTGCCGGCTAGTAACATGGGTCAGTACCAAACTGTCCGGTATACCGTAGATATTGTAGATCCTAGTGAGTTCACATCCCGATCTCCACCCAGCCAGGGATCCGCTACAGATCCCTCAGCCAGCCGTGGGCCCATGTCTTTTGCACCCACCCTACACCTGAGGGATAACATGTGGCTTCGTTGGTAGAAATTCTTGGCGCCACTTAAGGGGTCCCGCACCATCCGATGGTCCTGGTCGCACCCTTTCGCCTTGCCGCCGTTGAAACAAACCGACCTGGACGTCCGTTGCATTGGTGACCTCCATGACCGAGCGTGAAGCGAGGTCAACAGAGGAGCTCTGGAGTGCCTTTGCCCTGCGACCTAGCTGCACAGCGAACTTTTTTTGGGAGGAGCGGCAGCGGAAATTTTGACGGAAGTGGGTTGTATCCCAAGAGCCTCAAAAGAAGTGAATTTCAAATGGAAATCCATGTTCATTAATTTGGATAATTTGGTGTTGGAAGAAGAAATGAACAGTTTGAATCCAGCTGTCACCCCAAAGACGTGATTCCACATGGATTGCATGTCAGGGGTCGTGCCATATTTTTCGTACAGATTGGATGAGAACCAAACGTATTAAACTCCTGTCCGGGATGCTGAACACCCTTTCAGCCAGGCATTGTTGCTCACATCTGACGTGAGCTTTGCATTTGTTCGACCGATTGCGTTGACCAGTTTAGAAGGAAACTAGAGAGTTTTGGAGCTGCATGACCCAGTGCTGCCCAGAAAACACGACGACCCAGTGCTGCCACAGGTTCAGTGCTGCCGGTGACGGCAGACAACCTACGGGACGTGCCACCTGGAAAGAGGCCACTGACATAACTCGACACGACGTCCTCGCTATGCGACGGGACGTCCGAGACCCCGAGACCGCGCTCGCGCGCTTTTCAAGCCGTGCGCTGCGCTGCGCGTGGATGGTGATCATTCGGCTAAAAGGCACTGCCTAGGAGTTCGATGAATGTCGTTGCCCTTGAGCTCCTTATAGGTTTAGTCTCATCAGATTCAGATTGTTCGAGGTCACTTGGGCAGTTCGTTTGAGGTATAGTTGTATTTGACTCAAACACGCGGCAGGCTGGTACACATCGATTTTGTCAGCTGCAGCAGCCTCAGCCAGCGAATGACCTACCCTAACAAATAGGTGCGCTTGTTTGTTGCATGTTTCATGTTGTATTGCTCCTACTGAAGGGTGAATGAAATGGTAGAGTGTCCAAAACTTTGAGAAGGGTTTGTCACCCAACTTCTATATTATAATTCGATTATCTAGAGGGAGTACATGCAGGTATGATTGAGAGGTAGTAGCTGTTTGTTTTTGTGGTATGATCTGTCCAACCTCACTGGTTTTGACGTTTCGTTTCTGAGCGCACAGCGCAGTTGAGGTACAAGCTGACCCCATGGGTATTTGGTGAAGCAAATCCTGTATGCTGCGATTCACGAAAGAGAGGCTGCTGGATCTCCCCTGGTTCCTCGATTGCAGATGAGACATACGTAAGATTGGGTGTGGGTCAAGAGAAGGCATACCGAATCATGCAAGAACCCCAAAGAAGCCATTCCTTTGCATGCCTGCACTGGTTTCTTTCGACCGGTGTTGGGCTGGAACACCAGCGGTTTAAGGCTTGTTCCTCAAGCCTTTTAAGCCATATAGTCCTCAAGCCTGCCTAAGTATTCTATATAGTCGTTCCAGACCATTCGGATCCTTAACCCAGACACGACTAATGGGACTGGTATGTATTGCCGATCAATTGACCCCACGTCAACCACCCCTGTTTGTATGGTATACATGGCAGTCCGTGTTTGGGTAGTGATTCCAACAGCTGGCCGGATTTGACTTGATTCCTGGACGAGCTCGTACACCGCAGCCGAGCTCCGACGGCTTTCGATGGGTCGATGTTCACCGTCGACGCGAACGGCGATCCCATCAGATTCCGATGTTCGTGATGTGCGTGCTACACACACGTCCCATTCCCGATGGACGACCTGTTTATTTTTTTGGGGCGGCAAGCCCGGCAAGCTGGAGCTGTGCCCTTGATTGAAGAGCGCCCTTTTCTTGGGTGGCTGGTCTTGTGCCGAAAAAGCACAAAAGCATGGAGAGATGAGGTCACGTGAGTGTTGTTTTCAGGAAACTGAGGGGATGATGTGTTCAACGGGCTTTTGCAGAATGATTGAATTCATGGGCGCAGGTGGGGAATCTCGGGCTCGGCTGGGAAAGTGAGGACTTTTCGCTCCCTCCAGGGTGCCCAGAGGTGCTCGTCCCCCTCATGTAGTATCCAACATCAGGAAAATGGGGAGATGCACTCCACCCAGCTGAGTCAAACTGCAATGCTTTGGCTCCAAGAATTGGTCCCATTGGGAATGTGATGTCGTTGTTGGCAGCTTATTGAAATGACAAAATATCCGGAGGGGTACTGAGATGTTGACCTGTCCCTTTTCAGGATGCATTGTGAGTGGGCTGAGCCATGGAACCTCATACTGCTTTCTAGAATGCCCGAATGTAGGACTTCAACTGGTATGGGCTGACTGTTGGTGCGAAGAGTCCTGCTCTTTATTGCTATACATGTCCATTTCCATAAACATTGATAAAAGGCAACACTACATTCCGATTCACTTGAAAGAGGACTTAAAGGCTGCTACTATAATATGGTCAAAAAGGACATGATAAGAACCTCAACTTTCAGAACGGCTGCCGCCTCCGGCTCGGCTCCCGCCTAAGACCTGCCGAGGTCTTCAAAATCCATCGGCGTCCCTTGCCGCTCGAAGACGGGGCGCCACGACACCTGCGGCGCCTCGGCAACGCCGGGGGACGTCGGTCGAACGGAGGCCCGGGAACGAATATGTATTGTGCGGTCGTCCGTTCATCCATTTTTGGATATTAAACATGATGGAAAAGACTATACTTAAAGTATTGACCATTATTGACCATGGTACAAGTAATCATTATACATTTAAAGTATAAGCATTATTGACCATTATTATGACCATTCCTATAGTTATAAAGTAATCATTCATCAAGTCCCCCTGCAATGGCCTTTGCATATGCCTCCAATTAAATCATCTAAGTATCCCGATGATCTGGGATCCTTAGAGCCCGAAGTCTTCGCACTGCTTGGTGACCTGGTCGCAGCATGCCTTGATATATGGAGACCCCCTGGCCCTGGCTGGGTAGACGAACGTCTATGTTCCGACCCTGGAAGAGGGGGTCGGAACGCCGGCGGTTCGGTCTCCTTATTTTCAATGCACATGCACATAGCAGTGCATATAGCATATATATATATATAAATGATCTTTCACTTGACTTGGTTGTTTCACTGAGAGGGTTGTTCCACTCTTTTGGTGCACCCATCCCCTTCCCCATCCACTCTTTCGCTGCTGCGGGCGGCGCCGTGGTGCCATCCTCTTGCTGGCGGTGCAGGACCGAAAAGGGATGCCGTCCGTTTCAGGGTGGTGGCATTTGAAAGCCTTTGGCTTCTGCGGCAGTCTTACTATAGTAAGCCACTTCGGTTGAAGTGTCAACAAACACTTTGTACTTGTCACCCTCATGAACTCCGCTTCCACGTTCTCTCTCATAAACCTACAGGGCTTCAAGAGAGATAGAGAGAGAGAGAGAAAAACAAACAAAAGGGAGAGTGAGAAACAAGAATGCTGAACTTGGACCAGTCTGTAGAAAAATAACCGTTAAAAACTCAACCATATCTAAATCAGAACCTTTCAAACACATGCCTTCCATCCCTTGTGCTCATAAAGAAGCACACCCGACATAGGAGCCCTCCTCTTCTGTTTTGATTCCACTTTTGGAGTAGGCTTATGAGTTTTGGTCTTGGCCTTTGCCCGTGCTTTGGCCGCCGCCTTCTCAATCTTCTTACCCTTAGGATTCACCTCAGCGCTCTCCACAGTCTGCTTGACAGCACTCGCATCAGCACGAGAGGCAGGAGCGCTAGCCGCAGGAACCTTCTCAGGCGTCCCCAAGGTAGGTAAGGAAGGCGGCGCATCATGGGAAGAACTTGGGGCGGGTGGACTTGAACCTTTCCCCGGACAAGCACTGGCAGGCCTCTTCAAAACTGGCTTCCCTGAAGCCTGACTCTCAGAACCCTCTGGAGCTACCACTGGAGCTACCCTCTTAGGTGGTCGCCCACGCCTAGGCATTGGAGGGTCCGGTGCCTCTGGGGTCACTTCATGGATGGGCGAAGACTCAAAAATCTCTTGAGACTCCCTCTCTTGAGTCTCTTGAGGAACCTCCGCACGAACAGTCTGGACAATGGGGGTTGACTCACGCTGCTTCTCTTGAGGCTCTGAGGTTGAGGCTCTCGAGGCTTGCATCTTTCCAGAAGGATTGGTGGTTTCTGGAGAAGGATGGGCTGAAGCTGGAACCTCACTTGACGTCCTGGGCGCTGGTGAGTAAGGCGCCGTCCTTGGCGAGTCTGGCAACTGCATGCGTTGCATGATCATGGCCCTGACCTGGCTGGTGCTCATCTCAATCCGCTAGCAAATGTGGCAGCTCGATACTAAAGAATGGCTCAGGAAACAAGAACAGAGACCAGTCCTGAAAGGCACAAACCCTACAACAAACAATCAGCATCAATGAGATGCAGTGCGAGTAAAAACACGTTTTGCTCGATTGCTTCCGCTTGTAGGTATGTTCACGAGTGACTTTGAGCCCTGTGTCCTGACATTCAAAACAGATTGAATGTTTTGGGCCTGAATATGAGCAATGACCAAAGTTGTTCTCAGCCTATGCCAAGCCTAGCAGGGCACTTGCACTCCCCCACCAGCACCAAAATGGCAAAAATGGAGCTGCTCTCACTGCTTATTCAGCTTCAACAGACCTGCAGGTGGGTGTGATAAAGAGGCTTGGGGGACCAGGAACCGGGATGATCCTATTCATTGAACACAAGATTAGACAGCGACGTGTTGGCCAACCCTGTACCTTCACCGGACGTCCGTGCTGAAGACTGATGGATTGCTTCAGCATGGCGTAAGGCTTCTGGATCTTTGAGCAATGGTTTACTCTGTCGAATCGGAACCGGAACACCTTTTGAATGGCCGAAGAGGAAGATCCGTCCAAGAGTGAGATGCAGTCTCCAAACCATGTCTTGCACGTAGGAGGCTTGGTGGAATCACCGATGACTTTGTACTTGTGGGCGTTGGTGATTTTTACACCGAAGCCGTCGGTATCTGCCCCACTGAGTCTTGTGACCTCTGAGTATGAAAGGTCATACTTTGTTATTTTCTTTTGCCGTTCAAGAAGGGTCATGTAGCGATATAGGGACATGACTTCAGCATTTGACATCTCCGGGTTTATGCTCCCATGGTCCACTTGGATCAAAGTCCGGTCGCCATCCGGCCAGCCCACTTCCAACCCTGGCTCATCTGATGCCGATGGAATGAACCTCAGCAGAACTAAGGGTTCAAATTGTTTTCAAAAAGGGCCGTCAGTGACACTGGCAGCAAATTAAAAGCCAAAAAACTTTCCGGTCCCAAAGCCAGCTAGGATGGTGTGCCGCGGAATGTCTCGATTTCGCTTTGTTGCAACAATGTAAGTGCTACCACTCTTGCCTCTCAGGAGTTCAACCTCTGGGACTTCCGACATGGCCTTGAACTTGATGGGATCTGCTTCTTGGAGTTTCTCAACGCTCTCAAACTCTTGGAGAGAGGGTGGAGGTGGGTCATTCGACTCAGGCGTCTCCGCAACACGGTCAAGAACAGGGGCGTCCGCATTGCCACCCCCTGACTCAACAACACCCGCAAGCATGTTCTTGAAGTGCTGGTCATGATTTGCAACCAGCTTGTCGAACTCTTCTGTGTACATGCCACCTGCTGAGCGCCACTGCCGGATTTGATCTGGGTGCACCTCCACTGAGCTGCCATTTCGCACAGTCACCTCAAGTTTGAGGGCATCGACGCTTTTGACGATCTCTGAACCTGGGATGGCGGCCAACTCTTCTTCTGAAAGTTTGACATCGTCGTCTCTGAACTGGATGCCAGCAAATGACATCTTCTTTTCACACCAGGCGTCCAGGAGGTCGCGCAAAACACGGTTCTTGCCATAGGTGGCATTCTCTGCACTGTCCAGGAAGTGAACAGACATGTAGTGAACCTTCTTCCAGTCAAAGTCCTCAACAACCCCTTTGGTTCTGAGGTTGAACACCTCAGATCAAAGGCGCGCAAAGGAGCACACAGACTGACCCATAAAAAGAAACACCTCATGAAATCCTTAGACTTTGTGGAACCAGTGACTGAATCAATCAGTTCTTTCTCTTGACATCCAAGTTGCTGCCGAGGCAAATTCCTCCACATACCCAGACCAATTCAGCAAAATTGTTGGTCCCCTCAATTTCATGTTCTTGAACAGACTGGCCAGTAGACATTCTGCTCGGTGAACTCCTTTTTGGGCAGCTGCCTGCTCTGGAGAGGGCTTGATCCGTTCACTCATCCGAAGGTCAGGCCCATCCGGTGAGCCACTCTCCGGGAGCAAAAGTTCTTGCCCCCGGGGCAGCATGACGGTCGGCGCCCCATGCTCTGACTCGTTGGTTGCAATTGGGCGGCCAAACACTGCTAGTTCGCTGGTAGTGAGCCAGGGGTTGTCCTCTAGGCGGTCATGGCTGACTATGACACGCCCTGTGCCGAAGCGCTTGCTGTTCGACTTGGATTGGCTCTTCTTGTCGCGGTCATACCTATGCAGCAATTGAATTGACAAGTCAATAAAACTTCAAGACATCTCCCAGATAAAAACATTTTGTCATTGACAAAACTGACAAGATCTGACAAGTAAATATATGTAAAGCCAGGCTATGCCAGGCTACAACTCAATGAATCTGGTATCACAATGTTGCTTGAGGGCAAAGAAGGATTCCTGGATGCCCTTCTCCTCATCGAACAGGCCCCTTAGGGAGCTGTCGCGTGGTAGGTCTGGAAACAAAGCAATCGCCCCGTTGCGCTCTGGTGCTATGTTGTTCATCGCCGCGACTCGCTCACATAGGGCTTGAACGCTGCTGGTGTTCCGGCACCCTGGAGCATTGAAATCGACAATGCTGACAATGGTGATATCATCGCCAGAACAGCCCCATTCTTTTGCCTTGGATGAAACAAGAACAAACGAATCCTTTGTAGAACAAACGAGTCCTTTGTAGCAGTGGGATCTCCAGGAACCTCAAACCGGTTTGCATTGTGTGGCGGTCATTTTTTACTTCAAGGGCTCAGCTAAGCTAATTGAACCTAATTAGAGAAAGAACACTTTCAATCTACGCAAAGCAGGCCTGGTAATGCCAACAACATTGTTTTCTCCACGTGTGGAGTTCACACATGAAGCAGGTTCTGTACCCTTTGCAAGCTCCTCGTTTTGTTGAGGGGGCGTATCCACTAGTGTGTCAGGGAAGTCCACTTGGGTTGCCGGAAAATCATCAACTTCAACACTGGGGTCTTCCCAGGATTTGGGAAGCGCTACTTTGAGCTTCTTGAAAGGGGGGACTGTCTCACTCAAGGGGGAACAGCGCTTCTTGATAGTGTCCTCCGGGTCCACAAGCATAGGGCTTGGGCTGCCATATGGATGATGGCTGTCCTCAGGGGATAGTGTTGCACACTAGCCGTATGACATTCCCTGGGGGCTATAACCAAACCAAACAAAAAAGCCACCTACTAGTACATAGTAGGTTTTAATTTGTTTTTGTTCAAACACAATGCGCCTCCCAAGGTTGACTGTCAGGTGAAGGCAGCGCTTGCAGGTTACGCTGTTGAACCTGGTCAACTGCTGCTGGTGCACCTTCAAGTAGATCAACCTCCCGGGGAGTGTCATAGGTCAAATCCAAGACTTCGATGTCAAGTGGGAGTCCATCCGACTCAAACTGAGTAGTAGGTGTCTTGATTGAATGGGGACGTTCTTCGACAAGATCATGAGCCGACTTCTTGATGTAGTTCCACTGGTTGACTTTGCATAACCTGGTATTCAAAAATGGAACAGCATGATACGATTATGATGCACTTACTGGAAAGACATGGAAATACTCACAATGAAAGCCTCCTGCTAGTCTTTTGAAACCTTTTAAACCTGCTTTGATCACCTTTGATTGAAAGGACCTGCAGCTGGGCAGCGGCTTGGCGACCATCATACTCAGCAGCAAGAAGGTGCGGATTCGTGGATGCGGGATGCCACCGAGTCGCTTGACCCAAAGAAAAGCTTCACAAAAAACATCAATATCCCCTGCAAAGAAAAGGGCCTCACATGATTTTGTGGTTTCCTTTGATTGCAATTGAGTTGCAACCAGATCTCTCATGTCTGAGATTTCGGCATTGGAGTGCTCGACACGAGGCACGTGCACCACCCGAAGGTACTTGTCCGCATACCCGGCAACCGCGGCCTGGACATAGCAGTCAAGGAACCCATGGGGTTGGGATCAATGTAATTTCCCAATGTAAAATTAGCATCTATATTGTCCAATCCTTTGGGGAAAATGGTCAGATCTTTTGGGATCCCCCGCCTCTCCCTGCTTAGCCTGGGCCATTGTTTGTTTCACCCGCTTTTGGTGTAGCTTTGCAGCAATCTTCTGGGGCACATCCTTGACCTTTTCCAGAAGTACTTGATCTCTCTCAAGGCCACTCTTGAAGTAAGTCCACTGAGCACTGATCACATCGAGCCTTTGTTTCTCCACTGCCAAGCAAATTGTTTGCTCCTTTTGGTGTGCTTGCTCTTGAGCGGCTGCTTTTGAAGATGGAAGCATGCTGAGAGCCACGGATGCAGGAGCTGACTCAAGGAGGAATCGCATGTCTTCATCATGCAAGGCACTGTTGGAGAATTCTTCCAACCACTTTTCACAGTGTGGCGCCGGCAAGCGTGACTGCAGGTGTGGGTACAGCTGCGCAAAGAGACACACCATGTTTCTCAAAGATTGGGCATTCTCCATGCTAAGCCGGTACTTCTTCTTTGAAGTTGCTGCCACCATTGAAGTTTCCCGGTTGAAGGCTGATACAATTCGCTTGAAGAGGATGGTTTGTGCCAGCTCACTCATTGGCAAGGTCCAATCAATTGGAATGAATGGCTCTTTGTCCAATGGCCTCAGGTCACAAGTATGGTCAACTGCCAAGCCGCTGGCAGTACTGCCCAGAAAAAGAAACTGGTAAGCTGCCATGGATTCCCCAAATGGCCCCATTGAGAATGGTATGTCATGTGTTGATGTTTCGACGATGCGGAATGCATCTTTTGCAGTCTTCTCCAGCCAATTCTTCACGGCGCGTTTGCGACGCCTGTCCAGGGAGATGGACCCGGCACCGGTCTCATTGGCATTGTCAGACCAAGCGCGCACCTCTGGGTGATCGTTGTACGCCTCCATGCAGGTGTCGAAGTTGATGGTGCCGTCACTGTCGTCCTGCAGTGCGGAGAGGATAGAACACCATGTCAATGAACTGACAGGCTGTACTTTGGAGTCAGCATTTTGCTTGACAATCTTTCCAATTGCGCTCTGCATGGAGGAAGCATTGGCATCCATACTCTTGTAAGTTGTTTGCAGCACCAAGAGGGATGCAATCAACTGGACCACATGGGGATCCTCAATTGAATCCTTGAAGTCCCTCCAAACTAGCAAGAGCGCTAACCACACCGTAAAGGCAGCTAGTGTTTTCTGGGATCCATCTGCAAAGAGCAAGGTGCCCAAGGCCACATTCTCACCATCGCAGCATGCATCGACTTGCTCGGAGGTCGCTGGCAATCGAAGTGATACCAGTTCGCCCTGGCCCAAGAGATGAGGAAGGAGGGGAGCAGGAGTTTGTTGAAGACTTTGGGATGGAACCACCTTTCAGGAAGTTACTGACCCCCTTGGCCCTGGACTGACACCGTTCGCCGAGGAATTCACCGACCTGGACTGACACCGTTCGCCGAGGAATTCACCGGCCCTGGACTGACACCGTTCGCCGAGGAATTCACCGACCCTGGACTGACCCGCTTCGCCGAGGAATTCACTGACCCCCTTGGTAAGGAAATTTTGTTAATTCCCTTCCCCCAAAGCCTTTTTCTCTTCTACAACCCTTTGAACTTAGCAGGAGTTGAATTTTCTTTCCAGAGATGAATGACTGAAGACACACAGTTTCGCCGAGGTGTCCAGTGGACACCTCAGCCAAACCCCCCCCCTCCCAAGTGGTGGTTTGCAACTTGTCAGCTAGAATGTAAGCCCAGCACTGGCCAAGTTACGGCAGAGGGATTCTTGGGTCAAGGCTTTCGCCGAGGTGTCCAGTGGACACCTCAGCCAAACCTTTGAGAGTTGTTGGGCACAGTTTGGGCATGCAATCCCAATCCCTGCAAAGAGTTGAGTTTTGGACACTACCACTAATTCCCAGAACAGGCCTCACGAAAACGAGTGATGGCAATTGCTCGAGCGATTCCCACAATCTCTGACATGGCAATGTGTTTGCCTCTCCATAATGAGTTGTCCTTGAAGCTCCACATCAATATTCCCGTCTCGAACGTAGAGCCCACAGCAGGTGGCCATTCCTGGAAGTCAAAGTTTTGTGAAAGTATAAGTGTTCATACTCACACTGTGGTTATGCATGGCAGGCATGTAGTTTTCCTGCTTTGTGGAATTGGAATTTGAACCCAAAGGGGACCAGTCCTGAAGAGTGCAATACTTGGCTTTGAAGGTTTCCACGGTGCTGCCCTCGTCCAACAGCCCAGCCGCTAGTACCATGTCAAAGGATTCGTCTACAAGCTTTTCGGGGGACTGCCATGCTCTCTGGGCGATGTCTTTGAATGTCCCACCAACACCTACCGGCCAAACATAGCCCGAGTCTGCCCGAGGCAGAGAAGGCAGAGCTTCGCCTGTCGTCACTTCAGGCCCGGCGTGCCTAAGGGAGTACATGGATTCCACACAAGTTTGCACCGCCTGCAAGAGCGGAGAGACGGATGACATGGTTGTGGGCCCTGCCACCGCTTGCTCCCCTGAAGCAATGGCTTTGGCCATAGCATTGCCAGTCTTCAGCTTCTTTTTGGGAGGCATCTTGGGGCGCGAATGAAATCAAGATCTACCCCTACCCTGTATTTGGTCCAGTGCAAATGATACACAAGATGGTTCCAAAACTGCGACAAAAATACAGTTCTTGTAGATACTCAAATTGAATGATGTTCTTACAGGAAAGATCTTATTAGTTTTTTCCCTTCCAAATGGTGAGCTGTGAAGCCTAACAAATTTGTAATTCAACCGGCCAGTAAATAAAATACTGGTCGACAAGCCCTGGGGGCCTGTTGCAAAAGGTGGCTTGAGAGGGAAGCCTTGAATTAAAAGTCCACTCACTGCTATCAGCTACTATCCAAAGGCCACCACACCGTTCAAGGCTGCCAAGAGCTGATGGTTGCGAGGATAGCTGCCGCACAAATACTCACAGTGAACCTTGATTGAATGTTGATCCCTCAACCAGACTTGAAATGGGGGCAGAGTTTCAATTACCACCAACTGCCCCGAACTGCCCACACAAATAAGAGTCTCACGAGTTTCCAGCCAGGTCCGATTGATTGGCATCGGTGAGCTTGTTGAGCCCGTACCTCAGGATGTCCTCTGTTCCAAGGCCTTGGAGGAGCAACTTCTCCTGGCGATCGGCTGTTTTGTAGGTTGGTCAGGGCTTTCCTTTGGTGAAAACATGATTTGAATATGGTTGAATATATTGAACACTGACTTTGTTAACCAGATGACCTGTCCACTCAGCAGTCTCCATTGGCCAGTCACTGCATATTTGCCATGAGGAATGATGCAGGGCGAAACCAGGGGGTTGCTCCGGTGGTAGGTGTTGCGCTCATAGTTCTGGTCCTTACGGTGGCAAGTTTAGGAGGGCCCTCCCAAGAAGTATCACATTCTTAGAATTCTTCCACTACTCCAACTAAGACCCTGTCCACCTGAACAATCACTTCCGTCTCAAAAGGGTTTATGCCCGAACTCTGGAGCATGGTCACCGCCACGGCCAGAATTGAGACTTCTCGGAGCGTTAGAGGCATGACCAGCTCCTTGAGCAAGTTGTAGTTCCTCATCACTGCTGCCTCAAGGGGGCCCATGATGTGTTATGTTTATGTCTTGTTTAAGATGTTGGAAGACATTGATAACAATATACTTTGGATGGAGGACATTTCAAAGCCCCATGCCTTCCCAAGCTGTTTTTGCATCTCTTTGAAGCCATCCTTCCACTTCTCACCACCCGACTTACCCGACTTGCGCGACTTGTAGCTAGAGCGTGCAAAGTCATCACTTGGCAGCAGCTCCTTGTCCAAGATGTACTTCATGGATGGTGGCCGACATGCTAGCATGTTGAAGAGATTCAATGGATCTGGACAGCATTCTTTCAAACACTTGGACTTGATGTAGAGACACCACACCCGGTTACGACTCTGTGGGACCCCATAGTCCAGTGATGTCACAAGCTGATGACATGGAAGGAATCCACCCTTGCTCATTTCGCTGTCCATAATGTTGATGGGGACCTCGTTTCCGAATTGGCTTCGTTTGTGCAACAAGTTCCGCACGTTTTCAGTGATCACCCACTCCAATTCATCGTTGTAGTCGCAGTAGCTTAAGAGAGATTGAAATCCCCCACCGGTTGCCGAAGATGGATCACTGAAGCTCTTCGGTGAGGTGTTCTGTGATGAGACACTTGTACATGGGAAGCCCATTGTCATGCCCTTGACCTGCAACAAAACACTATTAATATTTCATACTATGTTCATACTCTAAACATTTCTAGATCATGTTCCCCAAAAAACAACACCATCAACCTGACATGAAACTGCGACACCGCACCTTAGGCACGCTGTGGTACGTCCCCCTGTTGATATCCTTGGCCCGGCCAGAGCCTAAGCTCCTCATGTCCTCAAAGACATACTTTGGCTGGAAGGCCTCACTGATGAACTGGGCCTTCCACTTCTCAATCTCGCAAGTGAACTCCGTCTGAAACTGTCAGGGGCGGTTGAAAAGAAGAGAGAGACAGGGACACTCTTATGTTCAAACCCTTACTGTAGTATTTTGTTTCTGTGCAGAAGCGAGTAACAAAACCAGTGGGGCCTTCAAGTAGGAGAATTTGGAGGAATTGAGATTGGCCATCTCGCTCAATGCGGTGTTGAGATTCTCGAACACCATTTCTGCCACACCCAAGCCACTACATGCGGAAGCAACTGGAACCTCCACATGACCCCCATGCTTCTCAGCAAGTGCGTTGCAAGTAGAGAAGAACGCGTTCTTCACATCTGGAACTTGGAGGAATTTGTTCACAAAGCTGCAAACCTCATTGGTTTCAGAAGTGCACCCATCCCCTTGTGGTTGAACCCAGAAAAAGAAGTTAAGACCAGCCCCTGAAACCAACCAAACTGTCAACCAAGCAGCACTGATGCTGTCCATCTTCAACTCAGGCTTGGGAGACAGTGGCGCTTCGGGCTCCGCGTCTGAGGCGCGCAGGATCTCCGATTCGGTCTCGTTGTTCTCAAGGGGCCTGGGAGGCTGGCAGAAACAGGTTGCTGTATATGTCAAGGATTTTTTACTTATATAGCTTGGACATTGGAGGGTGTGCATGAGGATTTGTTGGGAGACTCCAAACTTGTTTTAGTCAGAGTGGCGTTGCATGAGATTGTTCAGCATCGCTGGCCAGCAAGATGTCATCGCTCGCGTCGTTGGCCGCAGTCCTGCAAACATTAAAGCATGCGCGCATCATGTGTAATCAAATTCCATCCTCCAAACATCAATTTAGGTTTTACGGTTATTATGATGCCAACATTCCTTGAAACCTTCATGGCTGGTGAAACCCCTGACAAGACTCTTTTTCCTGCTGTTTCAGACTTATCTCGATCTGATGTTCACAGATCTTTTAAAGATCTATCGGTTGGCATTGGTCAAAGTCTTCATTGTCATCCGTATCATCTTCTGGCTCTCCATCTCCGAACACCATTTCCAAGCGTCTCACTCTGGGAGGGTTCCAATCAGGAACCCCAGGGCTCTGTGGAAAAGGCAATGAGCACCTGTGACGCAAGTAGGAGTAGTTCTGCATCCTGCGTTGTTTGGGCCATCGGCCTTGGCACCAAGAGACCAGGTATGTTCTGGCAGATTGGCTGATGATGCCCTGTGCCTGGCACCTGGGTGCATATGCTAGGATGTTCTTGCGCACCTGCATGCTGATAGGGCGCCTTGAAGCCTCAGAGGTTGGTTGCTGAAAGCCAGCTTCTAAATCTGCTGCTCTCTCCTCGGTCATTGCAAGAAGGACTGTAAAGGGTTCAGCGTTGGCCATTCTGCGCTTGACCACGAGGATCAAGTCCCCTGCACGTGCACTGCGCCCTGGGATCTCCTCAACTGCGCATGCTCCCAGGGATGTTGGATCAACATCACCACGCCGAGCCACCCGGATCTGACCAACAGTACCTAGCAGTGTGGAAGGATGTGAAAAGGGCAGTCAGGTTTTACACCTAGGCTTAATGACTAAATGCTGTCCATCTCAGCCCAGGTGCGCAGTCCTTTAAAGTAAAGGCCAACTTGACGCACCCATGATTTCCAGTCCGCAGTTTCATCAAGTTTTGATGCGAATGCCTCCACTTTGACAACTTTGCTACGCTTTCGTTCGCGTTCAGCTGCATCCCTTGGTCGACCCATGGAGTCCATAATGTCGACTACTTCATCTGGCGTGTCAAATGTGTGGCGACAAATGAGAGCAGCTTGCTGTGAGAATAGTTGGTCCAGGTCCTCGTGGCCTTAATGATGTCAACCATTGCAGAACATTAAACTTAGGGACCGACTCTGGGACCTGCAAATGAACTCTGCAGTGTCAGTCCACTTTATACTACAGTAATTAGATGCTGCAAAGGCTCTGTGTCCAGGTCTCAAGTATGAGAGGACAGCATACCGGAAAACTCGAAGTGCACAAAGAAGAATGCAGTGTGAAATAAAGTACCGGTTCTTTCCTTCACGATATGTATTGTCCTGTTGAATATGCAGACCCATTGGAAGAGTGGAGTAGGTGTCATAAATATCTGACAGGCATCGAGCCAGCACTTCCTGCTGTGTTGTGGAATCTTTTCTCAGGTCATCATCAGCCACAAACACAAACAGTTTGTGACCGTGGCACCAGCTTCCACAAATGTGCAGAACAGGGCGGAAGAGCCTTTGGAACAATTTGGTGGTTGCCCTTTCCTTTACTCTTGGTATGCGAAATTTGCTTTGGTCCATCCCGTCGATGTTGAAGCAGCATACATTTGTGGCTGCTGAGCTGGCCACCATCCTAGATAGGCTCTTGTAAATGTGAAGATTATAGGTTTTGACCCCAACAGATAAAACATGACATCAAACATCAAACAAACTATTGAGAACAGTTCAGCTAAGAATCTTTCGGCCCATTTCAACCATAGTCTTGAAGGTTGAGGTAGACAGGCTGCGATAAGACCAGTACTGCTGCCGATCTAGCCATTGGGATAGGAGGTGATGGGAGTAGTTTCTGTAAGCTTCCTGGCGCTTAGCCATGTTCCCTGTCTTCAGTTTTTGTTTGAGGTCGTAGCATGTATTGCAAGAACCGTGCTGTGTGACACCTCTAAATCTCAGATGTTGGTTTCGGATCCCCGGTTTCAGAACTGCGTTTGCCACACGCAAGAATGTGGAGTAGCTTGCTGGGGATACCCCTTTGGCATGGCAACTGGCACTGTACTCCCAATACAGCTCCGTTCTCGTGGAACATTGTAGAAACCGGCATGGTCCAGCAAAAGTTCCAGGACCCACCATGTGCACATCTGGGTCTGATGTGTACGATTCCAGGCTCCGCACAAAGTGATTCACTAGTCGCTCTTCAAGGTCTGGATCTCTATGCTCGGGTACTTGCACCTCTGTCTCTTTAGGCATTTTGAAGTCTGTTGGTAAGACCTCTGCACAACTCTGGTAAGTCTCCCAAAGGAACATCACTATGCCAGGCCACATGGCAGAAGAGTTGTGATCCAAGGCGAACCCAAATGTTGGGTGCTTTTGCCGGCTTGGACGCCTCGAGTTTGTAAATGCACGCTCTCCTGCTCGAAGCCTTTGGATGGTGCTGGTCCCAATGCCAAGCAATGCCTGTAAAGCATGAATGCATACAGGTTTTCCCAGGAAAGAGGCCTGTGAGGCCCTTCGTCGATTCTGGGAGCGAGGCTGCTGATTTTCCTCATCTGAAGCCAGAAAAATATCTTCAGAACCAGGTTCCGCAACACTTTCATGTGGTTCATTCTCCTCATCTGTTGCTTTCAAAACTGACTCAGCCTCCGATGCTGGCAGAACCGATGAATCATCACTGTCATTGCCAGCTGTTTCACCAACATCAGTCTGAAACAGTGAGCCACAGTTGAATACTGTACGGAGTGTATTTTCCTCAGTTTTGGACTTGTAGGACCTATTCAATTTCAATTCTGTTGACATCGTGTGGAGCAAAGACAACTATATATCTTTATGGATCTTTATGGGGAAAACTTGTTGTTGGAGACAAAGTGCACGATCTTCTGGACTCAAAGATGTAAATTCAGATCTTTTTGCACTTACTTGTTGCTCTTGGCCAGCAAACTGTTGGAAGCAGGTTGCTCGGTTGCACCGGCACGGCCGCCCCAAAAGGGTTTGGATCTCAACATGGCGATGGGCGGGTGGAAGACCTCTTGCTATGCCTTGGGCATGGGAAGAACCTTCATTTTCTTCATCAGAAGCTAGGAGGATGTCACCCATCCTTAGAGTCCAATAGCTGCGGTCATGCGCGGTGGTGACACAAACAAAACACATCCATCATCCCCCATTCGGTCCTCCTCTTGGCGGATGGCTTCCTGACCGCCCTGGCAGGCTTCTTCAAGCCGGCTGCTGGCTTCTTCATGGCGCTGGCAGCTGCGAGTTCTCCCAAAAAAGATTGGGGTGTACTGTAGGTAGCACTATGGTTTTGAAATAACATCTGTAGATCGTTGTAGATCTATACATTGGATGTGTTTCAGTGTGCCTGAAATATCAAGCAGTCAACTGCGAGGCCAAGAGCCTGAGGCAGCAAACAACCAGCCACCTGAAACAACCAACTGACACGCAAGCTCATT